GTTATATTTTGGTTTATTTTTTATAAATCAAAATTATGATTAAAAATATAATATTAATAATATTATTTTTTTAATCATAATTTTAATAAGATTAATAGCAATAATAACAATAATAGCAATAATAGCAATAATAATAGCAATAATAGCAATAAGAATAATAACAATAATAATAATAATAATAATACTAATAATAATAATAAAGTTTGGCTACACCAGCGTGGTGCTCCAGCCACCCCGACGCTCTTTGCGACCACATAATTCGCATGGTCTTGCGCCGGTCTTATTATCCTTTTATTAGGCATTACTGAAAACATTCAAGCTGTTGCTTGTCAATAAGACTTTCTTTTAAACATATTTTCATTAAATCATAGGTATACCAGATCTTAAGTTAATAATTACATTAAAAGAAGACTAACCTCACATTGTCCCATTTTGATATCTGCTAAAAGTATTTTGGTGTTGTCTGTTATCTGATTAATGTGCTTGATTGTTGTTTATCATCAATTGCTTTAATTTGATCAAAAAGGTTTAGTCAGCAACCTGTCTTTAGAATACACATAATTTAGCAAGTAAGCTTCAGACCAAATAATCGAAAGACTATACGAAAAGGTTCCGCACGATTTAAAACCAGATTAGATATAGGCTTTTGTTATATCGTAGGTTTTGCATAAAAGTTCTATAAAATTGGCCTTGTTTATTATAAACCCAGGGTGATTAGACTATTTTTCTTAGCCTGCATTATTGTTAGCAACTTTGAATGGTTTAATTTCTGTTTAACCACAAGGTTTAAAGCTCAAGTCAGTTGCTGGTATGAGCAAGTGCGACCTAAATGAGTGCAACAAACAAATTTCAACGTTTATCTTATTTATTCACTAATAAAGGACTGCTGCTTTTAATTCTGGTTGTCAAATAACTACTTTTTTCTTATCTCGATTTTTAAGAAGTTGCCATCATTTATAAAGTGGTTTGCTGTTTTTGAAAAAATATCTATATCTTTTAGCCAGCTGGCCAGCTATTGTTTCTATACCAAGAGCAGTTCTTACCGAAGCCTATGCCTATCCTAGCTATGTTGTTGGCATAATTAGGTAAATTGTTTTTACAATCAATTAAGCCTTTTCTTCTTAATGTATACCTAATGTATATTTTGATTGTTCGAACAATTTTGAAATTTCATTAATAAGTTGGATAATTGCATGCTCTGTTGAGCTATCTTTTTTAAAACCAAATTGATTAACATAAAGTAGGTTATTTTTGTCAAGGTGTTTATATATTCTGTTGCACATAATTCTTTCTAGGATTTTTGAAAATACAGAAATCACATAGATGGGGCGATAAATAGTTATTCGGGATTGGTCAACCTTTTTTAAAAATAGGTATAACTTTAGCAATTTTTAATTGTTCTGGAAAAATTCCTTGTTTAATTGAGGCATTGAGAATTTGAAAAGATCATCTTTTAGTTGCTTAAAGCAATCTATAATCACGTTTCCATCTATATCGTCTGGTCCACATGATTTATTTTTTTAAATGATTTGAACGTCTTTTCAAGTTCTTCAACTCATAAATTAGAGGATAGTTCATCAGAGCATATGCTTTTATCCAAGGGTAATAAGAAGTCACTAAACAAAGTTCTGGTGATAAGAATCTTATTTGATAGTTTAGGACCTATTTCAGTGAAAAAAAATTATTAAATTCATGTGATATAGCGTTTGGTTCAAATATACATGGGTTTTCAATTTTAATCATTTGTGGCAGAAAACCAAAGCATGATTTTTGTTTTCCTATAATTTCCTTTATAATTTCCCAAATGCGCTTCGTGTCATATTTGAATTTGTTAAGTAATTCCGAGTAATAACTTTTTTTTTTAAGTTTTTACGAATTTTGTCAAATAAATATTTATAGTTTTTCTAAATTTTTTCGTTTGCAGTTGTTTTTGTTTTTAGAAAATATATATATATAACTTCTGCTTGATTTTGGAAGATTTTTTAAACCCCTCGGTAATCCAAGGAGAATTCAAACTCTTAGACTTTGTTATTATTTTAACTACGGGAAAGTTAGTGTTATACAGAATAGAAAGTTTTGAAGAAAGTTTCATATATGTCGTTTGCATTATTGTTTATGCTAATATTACTCCGATGGAGTAAGGATATTTGGTCTTTGAATAAATTAAGGTTATTCTGATTAATGATACGTTTCTTCAATACTTTTTGGTTGTCATTGTTTTTTGCTGTATATGTATTAATTGTTAAAAAAATGGGAAAATGGTCCGTTATATCAGTTTTTAATATACCTTTTTTTATACCACTGTTAAAAATATCAGTTGAAACAATATTAACGCTGAGTTTATAGATACTGTAGTAGGGCGATTGATGAGGGGGATTGATCCTGTTTCGAAAAAAGTGTCATAAAACTTTTTACTTTATTGTCATTGTTATAAAGAAAACAATTCATATTAAAATCCCCAAGCAAAATATATTTTTTCGTTTCAGTATCGCCTTTTTTAATGATGTTTTGCAAAAACATGCTATTTGTTAAAACTTCTTTGTCGCTATCAGATACACTTAAATCGCCTCTAAAAACAAGCTTAAGTGTTTCGTGCGCACAAATTAGTACTCCACCACCTCGTTTATTTATTTGTCTCTCCAAAGAAATAATATTAAAAAATATTATTTCTTTAGATTTTTTATTCAAAATTCCATATTTTAAAAATATTAAAATGCGGAATTTGAAAATTACTATTTAGATCTTTTGATATAATCCACGTTTCTGTTAAGCATATTATATTAAAAAGGTTTTTCGTTTCTTCTAGTAGATTTAAAAGTTTTTCAAAGTTACTATTTAGACTTCTTATATTGAGGAGGAAAATTCTAATTTGATTCGAATTTTTGTCAATAACATTTTTAAAAAGATACTCTTCTAGTTCGCTTGGAAAAATATACGAGCAATCTGAAAAAGTCTCACAATAAAAATTATTGTTGGGGTCTGAGTTTTCGTCCTGGGAAAAAATTAAACGCGAGAGATTCAAAATTATTTAACGCAGCCACGATTGTTTTATATATGTTTTAAAAAGTTCTTTTTAAGAATGTGAATTAGTTATCTTTTTTCTATTGTTATCATAAAAAGAGTTTTTAAATACCGAGCCGCGACAGTCTCTCCGTTTAAACGTCTTCGTTTAACTTCAGTAAACAATTTTTTCCTGATAGCAACGGTTTCGAGTGAAAAGTCTTCGTTAATGAAAATGTCTGTTCCTTTTATTCGATTTAGTTCTTTCAGTATTTTTACTTTATCTTTATATCGTTAAAGGTTGAGAACTATTGTCCGAGGTTTTCCGTCTTTAATAGAGTGCTCAATTTCAATATCTTCAATAATCTTCAATATCTTCTATAATCCCTAGCATCCATAATAGAAGTTTTTTAAAAATTTCGGCATATAAAGTATAAAAATTCAATAACTTTAAAGTAAGTTTTTTTTTTTTTTCGATTAACGCTTTTATGTTCTAATATTTAAAAAAAAAAGGGAACATCTATATTTCCTTGTTAAATAAATATTTTCATTAAACGGAATAAAAATAAAAGTTGTAAAAATATTGCTAATGATTTCCCAGTGGGCATTTCGACGTCGAACGAACGTCGAGCGACGTCGGATCTCGACGTCGGATCGACGTTGGGTTTACGTTGGAAATGGAAATGTTATTTGACGTCGGATAAACTGACATCGCGCGACGTCGGCATTCCGATGTAAATCCAACGTGTTTTTTGAAAACTAAAAAACGCTTCCTTTGACAGGAATCGAACCTCGGTCTATTAGTTTTTACATCCTGTGCACTTACCACTACACCACAAGGACATGTTAATTGTTGAGTTTATTTAGTAATTTATACTTGTAGCTATTTGGGAATTATTACTTTGATAAGAAATAATTTTGTTTAAATATTATATAAATATTAAAACGAATAGTTATATATTATAAAAAATGTATACTCGAAAATGTTAATTGTTAAAAAACTATGCTAGTGCATCATACAAAACCTCATGATGTTTTATCAACCTTTATTCAAACTTTTTTCCATTAATAAAAAAACACGCTTAGTTCACATAATTATTGAAGAGCGCAATTGCACACATATTGTTGGGTTTGGATTAAATTTTCATCAGCGATGTCTTACGACGTTGTTCCGACGTCGTTTTAAGGACGTTGGATTGACGTCGGAAGACGTCAAAAGACATCGGAGTACGTTAATATTATGACGTTGCCCGACGTCTTTTTATCGACGTTGGATCGATGTCAGTACTGCGACGTTTTTTGGACGTCTTTTATAAGATGTCGGAACAACGTCAAAAGACATCGAAACGACGTCAGGGGATGTTGAGATAAAGACATCGCCCGACGTCATTTTACTGACATCGGAACAACGTCGGAATAGGTCTTTTGACATCGCTGATGAAAATCAAACGTAAATCCGACGTCGGATTGACGTCGGGTGCCCACTGGGTTGGGATCACTTTTCTGTTTTTTGCGAAAAACATGTCTTGGGCCAATCAAGATTTGATATTTTAAGCTACATGCTTGATGGGTAAAATTTTACATACTTATAAACGAATGTCTACTTTACCAGATTTTTGGACGGCGTAGATAAAAAAAATAGTTTAAGTTAGTTTTTTTTAGCATTGTTATTTTTGTTTTTACTTGTTTTATATCAAAAACGTTCAATTTTTGTTATGCCCTCCAAATTATTGAAATTTCAACCCTTTATGCACATGAAAATCGAAAAATTACTTTTTGTACTTCTAGCTAAAACGTCTTCAACCTTGGCAGGTTTAGCAAAAAATTTGTAGTTACCTGCGTAAAATTTTTGTTTTTATTTTAAAGCAATGACGTAACTTTAAATGCGTTACTTCCCAATAGACGTATCCCGCATTCCAATGACGTAATGATGTAATGACATCAGGCAATGATAAAGCGTAAACATTAGAAAATTGTAGTTTTTAATATTTCAAATTAACATGAATGATTTTGCCTGTTCTACATTAACTAAAGGAGGAGGAAAGGGAGCTTATTGCTGTATTCCACGATGCAAAAGTTCATTTTACGATTTTCAAAAAAAAGTCAGGACTTTTTTTTTTGAAAATCGTAAAAAATCTGGAAATGAAGACATTCAATTTTTATCTAATATTGGCAGAAAAACTTTAAAAAAAAAAGCATTTCCATCTATTTATGAATTTAAAAAACAAGTTGATGTACAAAAACGATGTTCGCCTAAAAAAAGAAAATTTTTCGAAAACTTTGATATTGAAAACGTTTCTAGAAATGAAGACAATAATTTTAAAAATAACGATAAAGAACTATTAATTGATTTTGAAATTGAGAAAGGTTGCATATTTTGTGTTGAACTACAAAACAAAATTGATCTACTGGAAAAAGAAAAACAAGAGTTGAAATCTCAAATAAGCATTTTAGAATCTAAAAATAAAAAAATAAAAAATCAACTGACTCAATATAAAAATAAATACATACTAAGTTATGAAAATATGTCAACAGACAAAGAACTGTTCCAAAAATATACTGGCATAGAACATGAACAGTATATAAATTTGTACAACTTTTTAAATCCAGGAAAAAATGGTGAAAATATTAAATACCACAACTCAGCATTATCTGAAAATATGCACAGGTTAGGTAATCAAGTAAAAACTGGTCTAAAAACAAAATTAAAGACAGAAAATCAGTTATTAATGTTTTTAGTGTGGCTAAAAAATGGATTTACAATTTTGCACACATCTTGGTTATTTAAAATTTCAAAATCAACAACATCTCGTTATTTAATAACATGGACAAACTTTCTATATTTTTCTTTGGGAAGTGTACCTATATGGCCTTCACGTGAACAAGTTAATAAGTTTATCCCAGAAAGCTTTAAGATGACATTTCCGCCAACAAGATGCATTATTGATTGAACTGAACTGTTTTGTCAGAAACCTTCATCACTGAGACACCAGAGTTCTTTATTTTCTAGTTATAAACATCATGTAACTTACAAAGGATTGTTAGGTATTTCTCCTTCAAGAGCAATAACTTTTATAAGTCAACTTTATGATGCATCTATTTCTGACAAAGAAATTGTTGTAAGATCAGGTTTCCTTAATAAAGAACTATGGAACAAAAATGATTCAGTTATGGCTGATTATGGGTTTACCATTTCAGACCATTTAAACACAATCAATGTTAAAATAAATATACCATCTTTTTTAAATGGACAACTACAGCTAAGTAAAGAAGATGCTACAGAAAGTCAAACCATTGCATCATTGAGAATTCACGTAGAACATGCTATTCGTAGGATTAAAGTATTTCGCCAAATAAGTAATGAAATTACTTTGGTGTTTCACGGTTCAATTAACCAACTATGGACATTAACTTGTCTTTTATGTAACTTTTTGCCACCACTTATTAAAAAATAAGATCAAAAGTAAAAATATTTATTTACATATAGAGGGTATTATGCTTTCTTTGCTATTTACATTATTGTCCAATACTTGTGGTAAAAAATAGTTAATGTAAAAATTATTAAACTTAGTAATTAATTTAAAAAAGAACTGATTGTCAAAAGGTGTTCTTATAATAGCAATTCCTTTAAATGTGTACACAACAAAGTCACAAAACTGGGAATTACTTAACCCCGTTGCCATTTGTATTTGTGTATAATAACCAGTATAATGATCTTTTTTTAAATATGGGTGTCCATTGTCTAATCCAATATAAAAATCATTATCATTCAAACATTCCGAAATAGATAAGTGCTTTTTCATTCTAGGACATTTTATTTCTATTAAACCATAATAATATTTAGCCTCTTTATCATATACAAGACCATTTGGACTTGCAGATAACCAAAATAAGTTAGGTTGTATTACAATTCCAGTTGTCCTAACTGAAATATTGCGATTTAATCTATTTTTCAAAACTTCAATAAATTTCTCTCGTGCATGTGGCTCATAAGCAAGCCCGTGGTCTAAAGACTCTTGAATAAGTTTAGACAAATCAACTTTTTGTGTGTTATTAATTAACTGATGAGCAAGAGTTTCAAATTGTCTTTTGCATATATAAACTTTATGAGAAGTACTTGAAGTTAAGTGATGCTTTCTTAGATTAAACCACACTGATTTTTATTTTGTGTAACTGTATCAGCTTCATACTTTCTGCTTTGTTCAGAAGATACTTTTATTGATAACAAAAAATCGTTTTGTTTCTCATTAAGCTTCCAATTGCGAGGTATTATAGCAATGATTTTTATTATAAAAGCCAAGAGGTAAAGGAGGCAGGGTATTAGACACATTAAAAGAAATTGCTTCAAGTTTTTCAATATTAGTGATAAAATCAAAGCTCTCGTTTATCTGGAGTTGATAAGATAAAGGAGAACCAATTGGAAAATTTCCAAATGATGTTTTAGTAAAACTAAAAATGTCAGGTACGCAATGAACAATACCAATATCTTTATTAAAAAAAGCAACATTTGATTTTAGATTGCAAATATTTCCTTTTAAAGTTTCTTCTTTACACTTCATTCGTCTTGGATCATATAAAGTAGCTTTAATACCACGCCTTAATTCAAATTTTTGAACATTTGTAAACATAACAGGATTTTTAATTGTTTTAGTTTTATGACCTGGAATGCCCAATTGCCTTGATTTACTTGTACTAGCAATCTCTTCAGGTACATACTCAAGTAAATTTAAAGAATATTCTGCAAGTTCAAATAACAAAGCCATCACGTAATTACAATAACCACTATTTCCAGCAGGGCATGAGCAATATGCTTTTCTAACAGAGCTAGTCAATCTGCTAATATAAACTTTTAAATCACGAACTTCATTTTTCATGCTTGCTTTGCATTTTGCTTTTACTATGATACACGTTAGGTTACACGAAGTGTAAATACTATCTGATGATATATATCGTTCAGATTTAAATCTTTTACCTCTTTCATATGTTTTTTTTATTGCAATACTTTTGTTTTTAGCTTTTTTTTTTCTGTAGTTTTCTATTTCTTTAATAGTGAATAGTGGCAAGTGTTTTAAACTTTTACACCAAGTTAAAGTTTAATCTGCAGATTTAAAGTTAGGTGAAATATTTAAATTTCTATTTATTTCTATAACAATTGGTATTTCAGTTGAATAATTTTGTATATCTATCAGAGCATCTTCTACTTGAGAGTTCATCTTTTAAACAATTATTTCGATATTTTTTTTTTTTTTTTTTTTTTTTAAGTTGATTAAGGTGCCCCAAGAAGTCCTCACGGTCTTATCACAGAGCACCGCGGAAGAGCATTTAATAGGAAGTTCACGCCTCCTTCCCAACCGATGTCGCAAAACTTGCCCAGAGGTGGGATTTGAACCACGGATCTTACGTTTCTGAGGCAAGTGCGCTACCACTGTGCATGTGTTTTATCATTGCCTGTTTTATGGCATGCATGTGTTTTATCATGCCTGTTTAATGTTTTATCATTGCCTGATGTCATTACATCATTACGTCATTGGAATGCGGGATACGTCTATTGGTCTAACTATGTTGACATTACATATTGACTAACAGAAATATAATTTTTCTGATTATTTTAGCTAAAAAGTACCATTAAAATTTCGAAATTCTGCCAAGTTCGTCATTTTGCGCGTTCATATAAAAATCATAGCAGCCTTGGATTATTATATTGAATGATAAAATATAAAAAATTTAATCGGTGTTCATATTCTTTTTATAGAACGTATTTATCTTTAATATTTCAAAAGTTATGAAAGTTTTAGTAACACCCCACTAAAATTTTAAAGACCTAATATTTCACCAGTCTGCAAATCGCGATCGTATAATTTAACTCTTAATATAAACTTGTTACATTATTATTATAAAAATATATTTTACAAACAGATTAAGATACATATTTTCTCTTTCCTCTTTAAAAGAAAAAACACGTAAAATATGGGAAAGTCATCCTTTTTAACGCCTAAAACCGTTTTTTTTTTTTTTTTTTATGCTTTGACTTACTGAATTTTGATGCCGATAATAATAACCACTAAAAAAAAAATAAAAAAAAAACAACACAAATTATTTAAAATATTATTATCGTTTTCTAATTAAGTTTACTTTAATTTCTTATGTAGTTATTAAATTTAAAACAATTTTTCAGTAACACATATAATATAACTAGCGCAAATGGCCGTGATCACGTTTTCTAATTTGAAAAACGTTATTGTACGCCTTTCCTGGGAAGGCTTGGATTAGGAAGAACCACTACCATGTCATATTCTAAGACCATATTGGTAAATATTAAATCAAATTGGTCAGAAGATAAACTTATCTTTGAAGACACTACAACAAAATATTATTTAAGTATTTTTCATGCATCAAATTGGTTTTAACTATGTCACAGTTATAACCAATTTTATGCATAAAATAATAATTAAAATAATAATAAATTATAGTTTTAAAATAAGTTGAAAAGCATAAAAGTAAGTAAAATAAGCACAAAATAAGTTTATAATAGACCTTTTCATAAATGAAGACCATAATGGAAAAAACGACAGAATCACATTTTTATAATTTTTCAGTTATGGCCCTTGGGTAATAAAGCATTGAAAATGCTTCTTTTAAGACAAGTTTCAAATGAAAAAACCGACATAGTCTATGGTAAAATGGAGTAAGAAAATATGGTATACAATGGAAAAAACAGCAGTGTCCACCAGTGACAAGGGTCCATATAGGTCACATGACCTTTAGGGTTGCGTGACCCTTTGGACCAATCAGTAAGCTGTAACCTTTTTTTTTTTTTTTTAAGTTTCGAATATATTTTGCTGTTTAATAAAATCAATTACATAAGATTTTCACGTAATAAAATATATAAATAAATAAGACAATTTAAAAAAACAGACCGGGACTCAAAGAAGATATGGATGATACAATACCACCACAATCTTTTCATAGAGCCCCTAGAAAAATAAAAAGTCGTCAAAAAGTTATAATAAACTGCAGATAAAAGTATATATTCTATAATCCTTTCTTGTCTATATAATCATATTTTTCAATATTTAAAAAGAAATGTTGAAATTCATAAAGAGTGCTGTTATTCTCTGAACATGTATAACTTTTTTTTCATTTTTTTTTCATTTTTTTTACTCACCCCAGGCCTGCCTCCTGTTGATGGACGAGGAAAGCATGGCAGTCATCACAAAATATCTGATGAACTGCGGCAGAGAATAAGAGACCACATCTCTTCGTTTAGGGGTTGGCAGTCTCATTACTCACAAGAGAAGACGAGACGGCTGTACCTGCCAGAGGAACTCAGCATCTCCAAGATGTTTGATTTATATCAAGAGAAGTGGTCAGGAGACAGTTTAGTGTATGAGTCATACAGGCTTATATTCAACAACGATTTTAACGTTGGCTTTGGGTACCCAAGAACCGACACTTGCTCAGCCTGCGACCAGTTCTTGGCAAAAATAGAAATTGCTACAAAGACTCTTGAATCAGACCCAACAAATGAAGTCCTCATAAGGGACCTGAAGCAGTTAAAATTTCAAAAAGATCTCCACCAGCAAAAGGCTGACACATTCTACCGGAGAAAAAGAGACGCTAAGCGAAGGGCCAAGATTACACCTTATCTTGAGGCCTTTACTTTTGACTACCAAAAAAATCTCAACCTACCCAACAAGTCCACCAATGACTTTTACTACAACAGAAAGCTCACATACCAATCATTTAACACTCACCAACTATCAACTGATGTTTTTCTTTACTGCTATGATGAGACTGTCGCTAGGAAATGTTCAGATGAGGTGGCTTCTTTCCTGTATGACCACATCACAACCAAAGTCAGCGAAGAGGTTACTCACCTTGAACTATTCTGCGATTCCTGCTCAGGACAGAATAAGAACTTTACCCTGATTCGGTTTTTAGATTATATGGTGCACCATAGAAAAAGGTTTACCTCAGTGACAGTGACATTCCCTGAGCGCGGACATTCTTATATGGAGTGTGACAGGGACATGGGTCCAGTAAATACAAAGTCTAGTGCTAGTGTTCCAGAAGACTGGATAAAAATATTTAGTGAAGCACGAAAACATCATACACCATTTAACGTGACTGATGTTAAACAGGATCTGGTCAAAAACTTCTTCAGCTTTCTAAGGCCATTGTATAAGAAAGGCTGCCCGTTCCCCACGCGCCCCATTCGGGAAATGGTTTTTAACAAGGATGAAGGTCCAGGGACCGTTTGTCACAGAGACTCATGGAACGGTATTTTCTTGAAAACAAACATCATTGTTCCAACGAGAAAAAACAATTTTTCAGTATGCACAGTATACCACCAATGAGGCATTCTATGATGCTCTGCCGTATGACGATAAAGTTGAAGATGAGGGTCAAGACCAGTGAATGTTCATGCATTTTTTATTTTTTTATTTGTTTAAAATAAAAAAAATTTTAAATTCAATGGTTTTATATAGTTATTTCTTATGTGTTACAATAGAAAAACAGGCAAAGTCCTAATCAACGGAAAAAACAGCAGAGTCCAATCTGAACACATTTTGAAAAAACAAAATTTTCCATGAGCTAACATGATTTTCAGAATATTTATTTGTTAAAATTTGATGCTTATATGGATGACCTTCCCTTAAAAATTAAAAGAATTGACAGTTTCTCACATAATTTGTAATAAAAAGGTTTCAAACCTTTAATTTAGGTTTTCTCAAAATGTGAAAAATGTGACTGCTGTTTTTTCCATTGTGCTCTTCGACGGAGAAAGGAGATTCTTCAAAGCGAGGCAGTGTTTGTAACAATCAAAACAAACTTTGAGATTATATATAATTTTGTAGGGTTTAGAGGTGTTATGTCTCGGTGTCTTCTCTATTTAGTTTCTACAATTTCTATAACACTGTTCAAATCACTTTAATATTGTTTTTATAGTAGCAACATAAATAATAATTAAACTATGAAAATACATTCATTTC